CTCCCCCTCCCCCTCCTGCTCCTGCTGCCTCCAACCACTCTACATCTAGCCCCTCTACAACTTTGCGCAGGGCTTTCCCTCGGCTAGGCAAAAGGCGTCTTTGGAAGAGCGGTCAACGTTGACTGACGATGGCGGGACCCACATCGCAGGGTTCTTCTGGAAAAAGTTTGATGCGCGAAGCGTCACGCTCACCGGCTCCGCTGGCATGATCGGGAAGTCCTCCGTCCGCGGGAAGTGTGTCAGACCAAATTGGATGTAGCAAACAATGTCCCTGTTCTCAATCGGCTCATCGCGTGCAACCCAATCCGCAATCGTTGTGTTGTGCGGGTGGTTCTCCTCTCCCCGTGACTGGCAAACGTAGTCTCCCGCGGGGAAGATCTCGTAATCCCTGTAGGGCACAACCCACAAGCTCTTACGCGCAAAAGCGGCTCGCTTGAAGACCATACTACCTGGCTTGGCAAGGAGCATCGGGCAGTTGTTGTTGATTATCTTGTACCCTACTGGCTTTTTGGCTGAAGGATTGATCCTGTTCGGGTTGATGATGCTCCATACCCGGCTCGTCTCGTGGCAGTATACCGCTGCCCCCTCCTTGGCCGTCCGCAGAGGGGTGTTCTTGCAGTAGAATCCGTTGCCATAGAGGTTTTCTGGGGATCCTACTGGTGCCTCTGAAGGCAGCGAATCGCTTTGGAGAACCGAGTTGCTTGGTCCGTCGAGTTCAGGGTCCACCCTCAATGAGAAGATGTGCTGGTGGTTATGGGCATTGAGTCGAGGGGCAACTTCGGTACCAAATGGCGCTGCCGTCTCCGTCGGATGCATGCAGTATGTGTTGAGCATACCCGTCAACTTCATCTCTAACTTGTACGTCCCATCCAGTGTGAAGCTATGATAAAAGGCGTATTCGTAATTAGCCGCCGTGATGATCTGCGAGATGATGAGTTTTCGATCACGGGCCGAAATAACTTTGCCGTCGCGGAAATCTGTGTGCTTATACAGGAGGCCATTATCCTCCTCGTGGATGCAGATAGCATTCTTGACCATGGCCGGCTCGCCTCGAGCTGTAGTCATGATGGCATCCAGGTAGTGGATGGTGCCCTTGCAGTCGCATCCAAGCTTTAGTGAATTTGTCATGAGACCACTGCCGTATTCTCCTACATCGAAAGCGTGTTTCTTGTGGTGAGGAGGATCTGGGTTTCCATATGGCACAACCATTTCAACGACGCTGATGCGGTTGAACAGAGCACGATCGCGTTGCTCATAATGATCGTGCATTCTTACATCCGAGATGACGATGCCCTCGCGGTAATTAAAGCCGACATGCATCTTGTAACCTGCCCAAGACAACTCATTCCCCTGCATGTCGAAGGAGACACCCTGAGGCTGTATTATGTCGAGGGGTTTCAACTTCGAACCGTCATACGTATTCTGGACGAACTCAGGCAGGTAGTTGTGCTCCTCGAGCGGAACCTTGGTTCGCTCACCGTTGACGTGCCGGACATCGATGGCCAAGATCTCCTCAGTTTCAGTGTCCACAACCACGGAGAAGTCGAGAGGGTGCGCATACTGATTGTCCAATTGCGAGTTGCGGTAGTACGGTAGCCCCTGTTGAAGACGACGTTCAAACCCCCAGCGGTGGTCAAAGCCAATGGCCCAAGCATCAAAGTACACCTTGGACATGTCCGTTATGCCAACCTCGCGACATAATTGAACGATTCTGGAGTCTTTTCGGGCAATTTTCTCCGTGACGTCAAGGTCCTCTAGCGTCAAAGTAGGAGCTACTTCAGCCACAGCCTTCCAGGACTCAACCTCCAACGCCGTGAGGTTCGCGATAACCTCTGCACACTGGCTAGTACCTTTCTTTAGCACAATGGCGAAAGCACGGCGTGGGGGCCGAGGACCCTTGCCTGCACGGAATGCAGCATAGCAACCCTTCTCCGGCTCTCTTAAGGTGAGGCAATTGAACTTCAGCGTGTTAAACTTGGCATAAGTTCGGATGAGCTTCGCCGCGACCCGGATTTCATCTACTGACAGCGGATCTGAGCGCCGTGCATTAGCTTAAAGTTCCCCAAAATAACCCGAATCGATACGACGACAAGGGACCTCCCAGAGTCGTACAACCTACCAAGAGGATGCCCGAGAGGTTTCGCCGACAGATCAGGGATCGCATCTGTGGCCTCCTCCTGAAAGATCGTGTAGCCGGGGAGGGACGAGCTGTCTTCAATCATGGTTGATGCTTTGACGGCAGAAAATATGACAGACTACCAGCTTTCTGTGAGCTTGTTGGTGCATAGTCTACGTATGGACGAGAAGGAGTGCAGCGAAGCTTTGTGGCCATTTATATACTTGACACACTCGATCCATGACTCTCATTTACGTAAACGACTGTCTCATGAAAGCCTCCCTTCGGATCTCATCGGCGAGCCTCTTCAGTCGTTTCGCAGTCTGATCAAGACCCAACACCTCTGGCGCGGGGAAGACAAGGATGGTTGGTCCAACATCCCTTTGCTGAGTCGATCGACCAGGACCGGCCTGTTCCGACTGAAATGCAAGTCCCCGTCGCATTAACGAACAAGTCCGCTTTGCTACATATGAATTTATCCGAAAGCTCCGTATCTCTTCCAGGGCTGTGATTTCTATTATGTATCATGTATAGTCACATTTTCTGGGTCACATTGTCCACGGTGGATAAGATATGAGGTGTGAAGTCCGGAGTAAGGGGTAGACAGAATAATATAAGAGTCCAGCTGCCGTGGCGCCAACAACAACAGATTCACCATCTACAAGCTATCGACCGAGAATGCACACACGGAAACCACAAAACGAGACCAATCCCCTTCTCCTCCCGCTGGGTCAACAGCACCAGTTCACCTATATCAGCTATCACACAATGGATCCCGAATTCGGCTCAACACTCAAACATGCACCAACTAAAGATAAGGACGCATACGACTTGGCTGATATGGGACATTCCCAGGCCATGAGCCGCAAGTTCGACACTTGGAGCATGCTTTCGCTTGCCTTCGTGGTTTTGGGAACATGGTCGGTATTCGCGCAAAGTTTGGCAAGCGGCCTGATGAACGGCGGCCCTATCGCGATCCTTTGGGGGTTGTGCCTAGTTGCTGCTTGCAACATCTGCATAGGCCTTTCCCTTGGAGAGCTCTGCAGCAGTATGCCGACAGCTCTAGGCCAGGCTTACTGGGTCTCACAACTTTGGCCCACCGCTGCTGGACGCTTTTTCTCCTACCTCTGCGCATGGATCAACACCTTTGGCTGGTGGACGCTATCGGCATCCACGATCGCGTTCATGACTGAGTTCATCTTGGGAATGAACCTGCTCTTCGACCCGAGTTGGCCCCCGGCGTCGAAAGGCTGGGTGCAATTCTTAGTATACCTAAGCATAACAGCTCTGCTTACAGCATTGAATGTCGTGGCCAGCCGCAAAGACAAGGTTCTGCCCATGTTCAACAATTTCATCGGTATCACGTTCGTCGCCTTGTTCTTCATCTTTGGGTTGGCCCTTCTCATCTCCGTTGGCGTAAGAAACGGCCTCGAGTTCCAGTCAACATCCTTCGTCTTCGGGGCATGGATCAACCAGACTGGTTGGACGGATGGCATCACCTGGTTCATGGGGCTTGTTCAGGCAGCTTACGGCCTGACTGCCTTCGATGCGGCAATTCACCTTGTCGAAGAGATTCCGGCTCCAAGGAAGAATGTCCCAAAGGTCATTTGGCTTTCAATTCTTTGCGGTGCGGCTACGGGATTTATCTTCATGATGATCTGTCTTTTCTGTATTCAAGACCTGGACCAGATACTTGACCCGTCTACCGGCCTTCCGTTCATGGATCTCGTCAAGAGCACTGTTGGTCTCGAGGGGTCGGCAGTTCTTCTCGCCCTCTTCATCGTCAACGGTCTCGGCCAAGGAGTGACGGTCGTCACCACAGCGTCACGACTAACATGGGGTTTCGCTCGCGACGGTGGTTTGCCGTTCGGTGTTTACTTCGCCCATGTTGACGAATACTGGAAAGCTCCCGTCCGGGCTCTGTGGATGCAGGGTGCGGTTATCGGCTTGGTCGGCGTCCTGTACACCTTTTCCAACACCGTTCTAGAGGCCATTGTTGGCGTCAGTACCGTTGCCTTAACAGTCTCTTACGCCATGCCTATCTTGACCCTTCTTATCGTGGGGCGCGACAAGTTACAACGCGGGCCATTCAGCCTAGAGAGACTTGGGCCTTTCGTTAACGGGGTCTCCCTTGTCTATTGCGCTGTCACCACTGTTTTTTTCTTCTTCCCATCTGAACCGAAGCCTGCGCCAGCAGATATGAATTACGCAATCGTCGTCTTTGGAATTATTGTTGTCTTTAGTCTGAGCTTCTGGTTCATCCGGGGCCGCCAGACATATCTGCAGGCGGACGAAATATCAGGCCAAGTCATCTACGGAGCGCCCGCTGAGGTAGCGCAAGAAGGAGTCAATGTCAATCTAAAGGGGAAATGAGTTTTGTCCTCCATTAGCCCTCATTTCGAGCGCCATTGTCATAGATGTATACCCAACAAATTAGCGACCGCAATTCTTTTCTCGTTTATAAAACACCTCCGCCGCCGTCACGCTATCTCATGTAATGGGTCAAGATGAGAAGATCACCGGCTCCAGACAGCTCTCTGGGATGAGAATTTGCATGTATCGGGGTGATAACGGCGGCTCTTTCTGGGGGGTTCCTTGAAGCTTGCTGCGTCGCCATCCGATCTGCGGAAAGGGGCTCATGGCTCCCCAGATGCCAAGCCACTGGCAAAGTCGGTAAGCGTCTTGGCCAAATATCTAGCCGTGCTAGGATTAGCGCTGGTAAGACCCCCGGAGAGCTTAGCCATTGAGCTAGCTGTTTCAGGAATGGAGGAGGGGAGTGTTCTGCGGCCCGTGAGATCTCCATCTCGTCTCCGGACTGTCCGCTTCTAATGCGACTCCAGTACGCTGATGACCTGACGTCCCTGTTAATGCACCAGATAAACTCGGTCATGGCCGATTCAATCTTCCGCTCGAGTCAAGAGGACGAGGGGATGTCTTGTTGCACTGAGATATCAGCCACATCGCACCTACTTAGACACGTATTGGACTGCACTGCCACAGCCTGCGAGGCGAAACTTAGGTTTGATACTGCGCGTGTCTGTGTTGCGATGCCGGCGGCGGCCGTCGGCTAGGTTCCTATCTGAGTTGCCCTAGCACGCAGACGTCTTGTTGGTTAGCAGCCAAAAAAATCTTGTTTCATGCCATTCACTATGCTTTATTGTTTGGACCTCACGAAACCCGCTGCATATTGACCGATTCCAAGTTCAGATTACGTACTGTCCCCTACACTAGTATCCTGTGTTGTTGAGGACTAAATGGCGACGGAAACTTCCTGCGACTTGTGTGGAACAAGATCCCCTTGAGTTCGTGCAGCTTTCACAGGCGCCGAGACCAGAAGATCATTTGGGCCTCGCTTGATTTAGACCATTGCCAGCCAAGTCTGCTTCACTCGCTGTCTACCACCAAATTGGCATTCGACGCATGATTTTATTCGCAATTTTGGTAGAATCGAACAATCGATGCCACTTTGTTGCCGAGAATGGCATCTAAGATAAAGAACGACGGACTATTCCGTATTCATTGGCGTTCCTAAACAGTGAATCTGAGCATCTTCAGCTCGGTTATCAACCCGCGTTGCCCACTCAGCAACGAACACACAACGTTGCAGCTTTCAGGCCCACGCCACTAATAATTTTCGTTTTCAGATGGAACTGACTTGTGTGGATGCCTCTCGCTTGTTTCTTCAACTTACCTTTCTTTGACTCAATGTTCGACGAGCAATGTCGGTTTGGCTAACTATCTTGTTTAGTCGCAATTGAGACGTCTGTGGAAAGTCAGTTCTTCTCTGTCACGGTCTATGGACCGGTGTTCGGCCTTCGGCAAGACCCTCAGCCACGACTCATTGGACCCACCAAATCCAATGGCGTATTTGCTAGAAGGTTCCAGGAATATCGACAAGGTCAATGGCAAGGTTATAAGAATGCCC